GGAAGGGGGCAAAAACCTTTTCACGGCACTGTATATATATATTTTAATAAAACGTAATTTTAATGTTTTAATCAAATTTTAGGCATGTCCCAAATGTTACAGGGTTGCAAATCTCATTTAGAACAATTAGAAAATAAAACATTTCTCATAATATTCAGTTTGACCCTCTCTTTGACCAAGAATTTCTTGAGAAAGTGCCCCCTTTCACTGACGGTTTGGTGAGAAGAAAAAAATAAACATTGACTGCTAGAATGTGCCTTCTAACCCTCTGAATATTGGCTGTAAAGATGGACAGACAGGCAGAGAGACTTGCAGCCTGTTTGATGTAGTTGGGAACCGTGCCAGACATTGCATCTTTTGGGAAAAATGCATCCAGAATGAGACCGTGTAGGCTTTGAAAGCTTACAAGCAATGCATGCAGGGAAAACTGGCCAAGAAGTTAAAGGACCAGGTCAGGCAGTGTAAACACGGTCCGGTCAAGACTCTACACAAGACTCTCTCATTCTCACAAAATGTCTTGATTTCATTAGAAGGGATAACGTATAAAAATTCTCTCAAATATTGATGCTAATAAGTTAATGCATATCGCAATCCCTGATTTCTTGCAATGTGTTTTTCTCAGCTATAAACCCATTGTGGACTATATCGACACACAGTTTGAAAACTACCTGCAGGAAGAGCTGAAAATAAAGCGTTCTCTATTCAATTACCACGACACCAGAATCCACATCTGCCTCTACTTCATCTCTCCTACGGGACACTCGCTCAAGTCCTTGGACTTAGTCACCATGAAGAAGTTGGACAGCAAGGTAAGTGCACATCACTGGTTAACTAGTAAATGTTCTGCATGACACTGTCGGTTAGCTTTAAATAGTTTTATGAAGATTTGTTTTACTTCATTGCAGGCATCATCCAGTAGCATGTGAGTAAACCGCTAGGCCGCAGCTGAATCTAATTGGCTGATTATAAAATAATGATATTATTATGAAAATTATATGTACATGAATTGCTGACATTAAATGAACATTTATTTTTGCACAATATTTACTCTAAGTCTTGAGTGTGGTTTTGAGCCAGTGCTCACAATGTGTAATATTATACGACAGTTACAAAAGCCATATATGTTATCAAAATGCTGAATCATTTAAAAAAAACAGTATATTGTACAATATTATAAAAATGCTCAAGATAGTAAAACATCATCAACTGACTGATTATTTTCCTTACAGATCGTCCATACAGCTAGACTGCAAGGCTTTTCTTGATTAAATACTAGATGTATTACTTATGCAAACCCCCCTCACCACTCATGAATTTTAAAAACATTGATGAATAATTCCATTATGTTTGTATTTGACATATATAAGAAATGAGAAAAATGTTTTTAAAGCTTGTTTGACATTTTTTATAAAAAAATTTCATCTCTGTAACACTTTAGTTACCAATTCTCACTATTAACTAGTTGCTTATTAGCATGCATATTGGCTGTTTATTAGTATTGTAAAGCACATATTAATGTCTTATTCTGCATAATCATATTTTAGATCCATCAATCCTGCCCCATACCGAAACGAACAACTACCTTACTAACTATTAATAAGCAGCAAATTAGGAGTTTGAGGCAATTCAATAACGATTCAGATCCCCGATATTGGTATAAAATTGTAAAAATGACAAAATTGTAAATTATAAGATTATAATTGTATTGCCAGGTCTTTGCTAGTAATAAACATAATCTTCATCGATATTATAGTAATATAACATTTAAGTTGGCCGGGTCAAAAAAACAACAGTGTGAATGGAAAACATTAAATGTATTATTATTAAACATGCATAAAATATTTTCATATTTAGAAATTGTATTTGACTTGAAATTGCTAAAGCCATGAATTTTGCTATCATTTTTGTGTGTATACAGGATGTCAATAATGCTGTACTGATGTATTGATAATCCTTAAATATGTGGAAATGTAGGACAGTGGGCAGGGGCTTCTCTCTGTCCAGTGGAAAAAGAGCCAATCAATTTTTCATTTCATCAGAGAGTAACGTGAACGACAGTAGAGCTTGGGGTTTCTGTTTTTTTTTTTTGGGAGATGCACAGATGGTTGGTAATGATGTGGCCCCATGAACATATACACATTAAGCCTGGGAAATGCTTCGTTTTTCTGTCTGC